AGGAGGTTTCCCCCCCCCCCCCCCCCCCCCCTCTATCCAAAGCTAAAAGAATAAAGTTTTGGCCTTAGATACACTTTACATTGTAGCGGTTTAGTAAAACGGCTTCTCTCAGATTGCTTGTTTTGCATTATTTATTTGATTTCTCTTTGCACTGTATTATAAAATATAGGTCAGTATACAACATTGTATGTACAGACTGAGAAGGACAGAAACGCTCCTCCAATAAAATCATAATAGGCCCCCCGTGTTATATCAGAACTTCCTCCCTTCCCGATCCCAGTGTGTTTAGACCGCCAACAATCTCCAGCAGATGTAGCCACATAAAGCTTTGACGTTTCTATGTAATGAACCCCCCACTCCCCCTCAGTTTTGAGACCTACCCTCCAACCCCAGGGTAAGAACTCAATGTCCTGTACCTTCCAGACCTGTTATCTCTTGAATTCTCTTGTTTGTTTCTGTTTGCTCGGCTCGGTCTCCAGGACCCAGCGCTAAGAAACAGGGGGAAGAGATATCGGATAATGACGAAGACGAGGAAGGAGGTACTTGCTGGCTGAGGCTGATGCATGGAACCCATTTATCATCATCCTTTTCCTCCCCTCCTCTCCTCTCCTCCTCACGTATATTAGAGCTATTAGAGGGTTATCTCCCGGTTTTTTTTTCCATTGTGCACTTCTCATCTTTAATCCCCGGCCATCCACCACTCTGTTTCATCCCCCTACCCTGTTTGGTTCCTCGGTTACAATTAGGTTTCCGCTGTTGACTCTTCTAAGGTAGCTGAGGGCAGTTAAAAAAAAACCCGAGGTGTAAGGTGAGGCTTGTGAAGGGTCGTGGTTAGAAGGGTGGTTAATGTACGTGGTTGAATGCCATTGAGGTGGTCATTCTGTGTAGACCTTTGGCCAGACTGTGTTATGAGCATTAGGCCGTGAGCCCTTCTTGTTGGTCCCGTCTCACCTTTATGTCCTCTTTGGTATTTTTGGATCCTGTAATGTTATTTTGAGTACTGGAGGAACGCAGTCATTGCCTCGTGCAGATGTATCCATGCCATTGCATTATGTAGTGCTTTTTTTTTTTCTTCTTCGTTACATTTTATTTTTTCCCCAGGCTTTGGGCCTTAGTTGTCCTCACCTCCTACATATCTTCCTGCCTGCTAGAGCTTCAGTAGTTCACCTTGTTTTATTGATGGACCCTTTTTCATGTAAGCTGGACAACTACCCCACCATGATTGTTATGGGGAAATCCATTCCATCGCCTCATTGTAACGCTCCTTCACAGGACTGCCCCTGTCTCGGCGGTCTGTTATATCATTACGGTCAAGTACCGAGGGAACCACAGTCCTGAGAAAGGGCCCACCGTTTACTTTTTAATTTTCGTGGCATGATCTGCATGCTTGTCTAGCTGTGGGAAATGGAAGCGTGCTCGCCAGCTACGGCAATGTCATAGTGATCACCTTGAACTATCGTGTGGGCGTCCTGGGTTAGTGACACGCGTGCTCTTCAGATCTTCTGTCTCTCATGTTCTGTTTCCTGTGACTTGAATGCTTATTTACTTTGATTTCAAACCTGCCGCCGGCTCTGTGTTTCCGTAATCATCGAGTGGAAATTCCGTAATTAATACGGCTG